CGATGGCATCGCTAGCCTGCGATATTTACTGGATTAGAACCTGGTCTGCTGCTTCTGATTAAATCAAAAAATGGATAATCGAGACTATGTTTTTTAACGTACCAAATTTAGTAATGATGATAGAGGCTATGCCCAAAATTCAATCGCTAAATACTCGGTTCAGGGTGGATCAATTTGACTGAAATTTTCAGCAAATTCCCTTTATATTATCTAGTTTTTAACTATTATAGTGAGAACTGCCAGCTCTTTATCTAATTTCCCATAATGTATCTTTAAGTTAAGAATTTACTCAACTTTTAATCACTGTTTATGAGAAATATCTTTGATCCAGAAACACATTAAAACAACAAAAGTTTTATAAGGGGCTATATTTTAGTTAAAATGAGGCAAACAATTTTGAGAAGTATCTTTGATTTGATCCAGAAACACATTAACACAACAAAAGTTTAGGTAAATTCTTAACTTAAGTCTGAGAATGTTTTGTGAAACATGGCATCTGTCATTTTGTCTCACACAGATGTGTTTATTTTCTGTAATTTTATTGATATTTATTAATACATGTCCGACACAAGGTTCAAAATGTTAGGTACACGTTCAATAGTGTCTGATAATTTTATTGATTTCATTAACACACTGTACATGACAATCACAACATATTCGTCACGAATTTCAAAATGTCTGTATTGTCAGATATTAATGTCAGGTACAACTACGATACCCACGGAAAGCGTGGACATACAATGTACACCCCCACAGCAGCTATGTCTAGATATTTATTTGATTACTAGGATGATCCTTCATGAAAACTAATCTCTATCTTGCGTGGGTTGTTTTTTTTCTGATACTATTTATTCAATAAATATTTATAAAAGTAGGCTACACTATATAATTGTGAGATCTGAAAACAAGCCAGAGCTTATACTTATATAAGTTCATCTATCCTGTTCACAAGCTGTTGTAGTTCTTGGTGTTTAATGTTCGCTTCCAACGAAGGTGATATCGCAGACAAGTCCTATTTTTCATTTTCATTACCTCAGCGCACGCGCAGGGGTCTTTCCTGTGTGAGGAAATCGGAGTACCTGGAGTAAACCCACGAGCTTGAGAAGGCGGCTCTATCTCCAAGCCATATACGCTCACACCAGGGATCGAAACCACAACCGTAAGCCAGAGGTGACCGGCCAGCTAGAGGTCGAAGCATGGCACTCTAGACCACTAGGCCATCCCTACCCCCCTGTTCACAAGCTTGAAAAAAAATACTGTTGCCTCTAGAGAACTTCATCTGTGAGAGACTGTTCAAAAGGAACTACCTATAAAGTGTGCTATTACTTGGGAAATTTTGTCTGGACAGCAACTACTCTTCATGGTTCGGTTTCAATGTTGAACCGGTTCAAAAAATTACTAACCGATATTCGGTTTCGTGTCATACCTGACCTTCAAACCAAGGAATGGTAGCCACAACATTGTTTTCTTTCATGAAAGACCACATCAATAATTCATATAGCACTTGCCATTTGTAATATATCACGAGAAGTTAACATCTTTAATTTCCCGCTTGAAGTTTAATATATGTTATTAGCACTCGCTGCCAAGCATCAGACTTAATAGCTATAATAATTCAAAAATATATCACCAAGTCTTCCTGTGGTCTAACAAATATTTTCATAGAATATTTTTATTAAATGTGAAAACATCGGTTAACCGGTGGCAGTTGGGTTTTTAACGACTAATTAACCAGTTCAAAAAGTTTTTATCACCCAAAAACACATTCTGCAATAGATATCGCTTGAGTGATAAATGTCATAGTCTACTGAGCGATATCTACAGTGTAGATGTCGCTTTACATGAATTTGATTTATACCCAAAGAATTATATTTATTTATTTGTGCGTGAAAGAAAGGGTTGGGTGATAAATAAAATCTCCTACTTGTCTTTTTTGATATCAAAAAATATCAACATTCATCCATAAACTAAAAAAAACCTTGACAAAGCCTCATTCTTTTTTACATTATCAACTTGTGTTGATATTTCTTGATATAAAAAAAGACTCATAGGAGATTCTCTATTTAAAGTAGACCTCATTTTTCTATGCCATTCAAACGACTAGATGCTTTTGACTGCCAGACCTTGATATGATACAAACGAAAGCTTCAATTCTCTTCATTCTTTTTAAAACCACTGCTTCTTAATTCCCTGTACATTTCCATTTGTTTCAGGATAGTTAGCCAAGACAGATTGTCCTTTTATTCATTTGCAATATTCCTATGACAGACTTGCCAGACTGAAACCTCTTTCAGTCAAGAGCGAATATTTTCTTAATCATGTTTTAAATGACCAAGACTGGCTCTAGACTGAGGTCAAAATAAACTGTTGTCACATTAACAGAGCTGATCTGATGTGACATTTGAATTGGTCATGAACAAACTCTACACAATTAAATTTGCATTTCCGCAGACACAAGTAGTTGTATGTGTGATTTTCTCTAATACTTTTAGCTACATTAAAAATGGCCTTGTAAAGGTTAACCATGATTTATTATCAATCATTTGAGAATAAACAGGAAGAGAAAAAATATGTAAAAACATCTATCGGTTTCCACAGGCAAGAAAATTATATTTCTTTTGATCAATTTTCTTGCCTTATAAAAACAATTACCGGTTACAAAGACAATCATCACAGTATTGATTACAGTCTACAGAACTGTTTGCTCCGGAACTGTCACAGTGTGTATCAAGGGAAGGTTTCAGGAAGCATATATATAAAGTTACATACACATAATTTCAGAAGAGTTCTGTCTTATCTAATCAGTGAATGAATCTGAGCGGACTGACTGTTGATATTCATTTTTTCATAAATAGAGAGAGGGAGAAATGGGGTTTTAAATTAACATCCACTCAACACAAACTGGGTCATTTAGGGACTAACATATGGTTTAATTTTATTTCAATAATTCGTTTGCCCGTGGCGGTCTTTAGCAGTGGAAACTGGATGAACCAGAGAAAACTCAAGAGGTTGGACAGGTGACTCTACTCCCTGTCACGTACAACCGGGGAATCGAAACCACACCAGTTGACTCAATGACAGACGTCATGATACACCGCGCACATGCTAACCATTCGGCCATCCAACCCCCCTTTTTCACCAATAAAATGGAACACCATGTGGTTTCAAATCAAATAAATTAGGTTAACGTCTTGCGCCTTACTCTCTGCACTAACCTGCTGATGAAAATGGTCATTCACTGTGTAGTGCTTTATGAGGGAAATTTTGCCAAGGAAGCAAAAATTTGTTCAGTTTTTTATTTCACTGCCAAAAATATCATGGGTTATGCCTTTCAACCTGGGACCATTCTCAAAGCTGTCATATGGTCTATATTCCATTGTCAATTTTAAATTCTTTCACTGGTTCACTGTAGAGACTGTCAATAGGTATAACCATACATGAACTACTAGGCCCCATTAAAAAAATGTAGACACCAAACCAGGGATCTTAATTGGCTGTTTTTTGTCGGCTTTAGCCGCTTGAAGTTCAATCAAGCCGATTGGTAAAACAATGGCACGGCCACTATGGTATCATAAATCAATCTACTTTCAGCTAAATTACTGAGTTAATTATTACTTGTTAATTAAGAAGTCAATCAACTTGCTTGTCGGCTACAATATCAGTCATATATCTTAGTGAGAATCAGCCATGTCTTCATAATCCGAGAAATTAGCACAAGTAACGGTAATTTTGATAACCCGGTAAAAAAAAAAAACTTTCTCATTATTCATAACAGTTCCAGTAATTTCGTTTGAGGAAATAAGCCACGTGGCCATCGAAGGAAGACGATCTGGACATGGATTGTGCATCTATTGCGCGTCTTCGACACTCCATATACGCCGTATAAATTCCAGGTGTACCGGTAAATATTAAAATAATAATTTGATCATAATTTAATGGTTTCACTGACCAGTTATATATATATAGTTAAATATAAATCTCAGTTGAATATAATCCTCGGATAGAACACCAAATACACTGAAAAACAGTCATTAAATATTATGAATCTCCAGTTCCGATAACACGTGACATTGGTTTGAATTAGGTCAATAAAGCAGCAATGCTAGTTATAAATAGCGTTTACCGCTATGATTATTTATTCTATACATATGCTGACAAGAGACCTAATTTTTAAAATATTGTCGTTATTATTATTATTGAAAGCTGCATAGTCGTATGGAATTTAATTTTAAAACTACTTCAATTATGGTTGTCACATGATCACTTTGCTAAGTGTCTATCATGGACTATGAATAAAAACATTTGCAAGTTACAAAACCCTACAAATTGTGTTATGAAGTAATACCATGGTGCCGTATCAGCTTATATCCATCGAAAAAAAATGAATACAGTAATTTATTCAGGAATATTACTGACATGAATTTCAAGCCGGTACGTGAATTAAATATGGAAATTTTCCCAAATGGTGTACCTACATGTATTTGTCGTTATTTTTGTGGTAATTACATACAGTAGAATACGATATTTCTCTAATAACAAATTACCTAGAATTATTTTTGTTGAAGTCTGGTTGTATTAAAGGGAATGGAAGCTTAAAATTTTAAAATCCAGTTCCTACCTTCACTTCATCATTTCAAAATGGATTAAGAACCCTGCACCAAACTCATTAAATGCAACCATGTATTATTGTGGCATAAAACCTTGCATGATGTGCAATTTGTCTCAATCTGATTAAAATACCGATCTATATTTCGTTTCGGTTTTTTATACGTTCGATGGCCTACACTACATGAAGATCTGACAAGTTGTACTCGAAGATCGTTTCAGGGGTTGTACAAGGGGCTTTTGACCCTATGACGTCAGACATTGACTAAACAATCAGCGTTGACGTTTCTAATGGTAATTACCTACAGTTTCGTGCATGGCATGCCAAGAAGTCGCCGTTCAGATTGCAATTTGTCTGTAATAATATTGTATATAATATATAAATTTATACTCACACAACATTTACTATTATCCCTGGACAAATTCTTCCTAACAAAAACTTGATGAAGTCAATCTGCCAATCATACCTACATCATCTAAAATAGACACAAAAAAATCATCAGATATTGGAAATGTCTTTATGTATTAAGCATGACACGAGGAGTTTTATTTCCAGCAGCTTAAAATTAATCTCTCGAGTCCATATATGGATCCTGATTAAAAGTGTTGTGTTTCAGACATTTAGGGGTGGTTGGGTGGCCGAATGGTTAGTGTGTGTGCATTGTATCATTAGGTCTGTCATTGAGTCACCTGGCATGGTTTCGATTCCCGTTTGTACGTGACAAGGAGTAGGGTCGCCTGTCAAACCTAATGGGTTTTCTCCAGGTCCTCCCACTGCTAAAGACCCCTATGTGCAAGTGAATTGCTGAAATAAAATTGAACCATATGTTAGTGCCGAAATAAGCTGGTTTGTGTTGAGCGGATGTTAAACCCCATTTCTCTCTCTCTCTGTGTTGAAAAGTGTTGTGTTTCAGACATTTAGGGGGAGGAGGGGGGTTAACAGAGACCATACACATATCTTGTTCATTTCTACACTCCGGCTACTCATATGGAGGTTAACAGAGGCCACACACATATCTTGTTCGTTTCTACACTCCGGCTACTCATGGAGGTTAACAGAGGCCACACACATATCTTGTTAATTTCTACACTCCAGCTATACTCATGGAGGTTAACAGAGGCCATACACATATCTTAATTTCTACACTCCAGCTTTTTAAGGAGGTTAACAGAGGTCATACACATATCTTGTTAATTTCTACACTCCAGCTACTCATGGAGGTTAACAGAGACCATACACATATCTTGTTCATTTCTACACTCCAGGTACTCATGGAGGTTAACAGAGGCCATACACATATCTTGTTAATTTCTACACTCCAGCTACTCATGGAGGTTAACAGAGACCATACACATATCTTGTTAATTTCTACACTCCAGCTATACTCATAGATTCATACCTAGTTAATAGTTAATTTCTATGCTCCATATTCATCAGTTAATATCTGGTATATTCTAACTATAAAGTGTATCCTTTAAATACTTGACTTTCTCTTTCGAGTGCAGTAAAAGAATCAATATAAATATCAATAGTCTACTACATACATATACCACATAGTAAGACTAACCTACATTTATACTTACTGGTCATGGTAGCTAAGTGGGTAAGACGCCTGCTCGCTAGCCTGGATGTCGGGTTTTTGATCATTGCATTGGAAATGAAAATGAAACGAAATGGGGTTTAACGCCATACTGTTCTGCTCCAAACTGAGCTAATGAAGACGGGCACATGCCATACAGTGTGCTATGATGAGGGAAATTATGCCTGGACAGCGGCACTACGGCCTACTCTTATATTGAATTCAACTGTCAAGGGATCTTTTATGTGCATGTCAATGTGTACACAGGACCTTGTTTTTTTCGTACCATCGAAACAACTAGACAGATGTCCTTGTCAGGCCCTCCATCTAAATCAGAACTTAATCCAATAAACATCGCAAGCTGACGATGCCATCGAGAGTTGATTATGGTCTGGATAAGTTAATTAATGTCTAATTAATAATTAAGATAACATTTCAGACCTAAAGAAAGACCTGCAATAAGCAGATTTAGCTCTTGCATAATGTATGTTTAATTAAATAAACAACTTTTTCACATTGTTAAGATGACATTATACGTTTTAGTACGGTAGTTATTGGGTTGGGGAACCAAAATATACACTTGGTGATGTTTCAACGCGATTCCTATAGTAAGTACAGGGGGACTGCACAACACACAAACAATTACACAAGACAAATTTACAGACAAGACACGATAGGCCTACACAGCATTCACAAACAAATGTACAGATTTAGTGAATTGATCCAGGGGCTAGCCGTTTTGCTATGTACAGTCTCGGGCATATAGTGATATAGACATCACTCAAAAATGAAAACTAAAAATGTTGTTATCAAAATATAATAAATATTTTCTAAATGCATTTCCCCCCCCCCCCCCCAAAGCATTGTAATAATTAATTACGTACATGTTGAATATTTTATCCAATAAACTGAATGTGGAATTCTACTACACCAGTACAATTATACACTGAACGTATACAGCAACAGATTAACATCAACAGGATTGACGCTGGACGTTGGCAGCTATAACCATGTGTTATAGTATGTAGAGCATTTGACACTGGACGTCCATAGCTATAACCATATGGTATGATATGCATAAATTGATATTGATATTCAATCAACCACATGTTACCATCTCAAGATCATACTGGTACAGTAACACTTAAACTATATGGTCTGCCGAGAAATGGGGAACAGGGCCGTAACTAGCTCAGGGCAACGAGTGGGGGGCTGGAAGTGGTCTCGGGGGATGCTGTAAAATTGATGGACAATGTATATCTATGGACGACAATTTTTTCACAGGGGGGAGGGGGGCTCGAAACTTTTTTGGGGGGATGGGGGCGAAACCTTTTGCAGGGGGGCTTTCGGCGGCAATCCCTAGTTTTGGGCCTGATGGGGAATATGGGATAAAACAATGTGGACCACTGATTACATAAAGAGGGCCATCAGAATAAAATCTATAACGGACGGGCTCATCCTGGTCAATTTTTACACTAGATATTGACAAATTATTGAAAGGGAGAGGGAGGGAAGGGGCAGTTTCGATGGCCCTCTATTCATGTAGCCCTTGATGGAAATTCTGCAGTATCAAAAAAAAGAGAAAGAGAAACTGGATTTAATTAAAATCCACTCGATACAAACTAGGTCATTTTGGGACTAACATATGGTTCATTTTTATTTCAATAATTCGCTTGCAGATCCTAGTACTTAACTAACGACAAGTGAAACGAAATTTAAAAAACGAAAAGAAACAGGATCTGTGTTTTAATCAGAATGTTTTAGTCTCAACACGACCATTAAACTGACCATAATAATAATTATTTATATAGCACGATAATCTAGCTGGCTCAACCCCTCTATGATACAACAATACAATATAAGAGTGGGAATAGATTTTAAAAACAAAATTCAAAGTAAAAAAACCCAACAGAATATAACATATCAGAGAAATACATGTATTAAACATACATCGCAAGTCTTTCTTTAGGCCTGAAGTGTTATCTAAATTATCAATTAGACATTAATTAAATTATCCAGACCATAATCAACTCTCGATGTCAACGCTAGCCTGCGATATTTACTGGATTAGGATCCCATTTGCTGCTCAATTTTCATTCATGATTTAATCATGAAATGGATAATCGTGACTATGTTTTTTATCGTACCGACTATAGTAATGACGATCAAGGCCATTCCCAAATCGTTAAAATCTCGGTTCAGAGTGGATCAATTTGACTGAAATTTTTAGCAAATTCCTTTTACATTATGTAGTTTTGAACTATTATAGAGAGAACTGCCAGCTCGTTATCTTATCTCCCATAATGCATCTTTAAAAAGGCTAAAACATGAGAGTCAGAGAAATGATCTCTGAAGGGAGACCACACACATGCAAACTTAATCTTCTTATTGTCATTCTTCAAGATATCTAATTCTGACATTGCCACACATTATCTGAAGAGCGCTTTAAGAAACCAAATAAATGTCATGCAATTTAGGAAGCAAGAAATGATTAGCTCTCCCTAAAAGAAATACCGATAACAAAATGATGAAAATAAATATCAACGATTCTAAAAACAGTTTTTCAATTGCTCCTGTTACAGAATTCTTTAACAAATAAATAGCTAGATATGCAAGATGAGTTTCAGGAATTTAATAATGGTTCTGAAAAAAGGCAGGTTTAGATTAGATGTAATCTTCATCTATATTGTCAAGGGGCACATTGACGGCATAAATAGCTTAAGTAGGCTCTAATGCAAGTCGCATGAAAAACCAATTTAACAATGAATATTCAAATGTGTACAATAATTCCTGTTTAACTCTTCCTCAGTTATCATGTAGGACATTGATCTTAAAACATAATCTTATTACAGGTCAGTATGCTCTTGGTGAGGGTTAAAGGAGGCAAGTCGCTAACTCATTATCATCCACAGTCTTCGACATTGCAAACACAATTTATTGGTCAATTTAAATCAACATTGATGTTGTTATGATGGGCTTAATTCTGATCTGATATTTAAGACAAAATTAAAATTTTAAAATTGAAGCACGAATCGTATGCCAGAATGCTTTCGAGCGCTATTTAACAAGGTTAAACACATCCCTCAGGAGAATACTCCTGGTGCAGTCTTTGCGTATTTTGCTAAACATATAACTGATTAGAAATTACAGTAAAACAGAAACGCTTGAATGTAAATCAGTTTATATACATTCATATTACATTATATTATTTTATGTGTATCTACTCATTCATATCCATTTTTAGGTGTCAAATGGTGTTTATCACAGGGCACTGTATACCATACCACAGTGTAAAATGGGAGTTTAATGTCCTATTTTCTGCACCAACAACTGGGCTTATAAAGATGGGAATATTCCAAGCAGTCAGTGTCCTAATAGGGAAATTCTGCCCGGACAGCAGCGTTATGCCCTATTCTCCATCAAATTCCACATTGAAGAACGTAGAGTTATAATTTATAAGTATTAATATGATTAATATGATCAACAAATAAGGAGATATCTTACAACCTTTTGTGAACTGGACAGTATGAGACAGACAATGCCCTCATGACCTTAAGAATTCCTTTTATGATATTTGGCAACTAATTACAGACAACAAAAGTCGATATCTGTTGTCGACTTAATGATGTACACTTTTGCTAGCAATTAATTGGCAATTAAATAAAGCTTAAAACTTTTTAAAATATATCTGTTGCTTTAATTACGATAGCATTAGCCTATAAATTGATTCAATATCTGTTGATCTTATGGTGAACAAAAACAACACCTGTTACCATGTAAATATAAAACTCCTATCGCCCACTTCATTATTTTTATTGTCCTTTTTTTATTTATAAATGTGGCAAAGTATCTAATAATCAACAACATTGTATCTGGGTGGCCTTCTATAGATTTTA